TTTTGTGGATAGCTGATTATATACACGACATATAGATGACATATAGTAGATTAGTATGTATCACTAAATATATACACTATGTAATTTTTTTTTATTTTAATTTATGTGATTAATTTTATTTTTAGAGAGTTAAATAATTTAAATTTAATCAAAATTGTCGTAACTAATTTGCTCGATAGTCTATATCGACCGTCTCCATTTCATCCCTTGTACTATTGAAAGTCAAGTACATATGCATCTGGTCACGAGTGATGTATTATGTATCGTGACATAATAAAATACATTCAATGAAAGTGAAAGTGAAGTACATATGCATGTGTTCTGCTGTTATCATTTAAAATTAATTAAAAGTATAAATTTATAAAATAATTTGGATTATGTATTTGTTCAAATGAATATTATGATTGATATTAATATGTAAAGTATTTAAGTCTAATAAATATAGATTGAATAAAAGTTCAAATAAAATTAATTTGGGGTATGATAGAGGTGCTCAGTTTGCTAAGTTCAATGTCATCTCATCCTAGAAAACTCATTTTTAGTACCATGTGATAAATAATATGTTATGTCAAGTCAAACAAATAAGTCAATAAGAACATGTCATGTGTTAAAATGAATAACCCATATACCATGTCGCTTAATTTTTATTGGTCGAAGGAAAACATACTCCGATAAGAGATTAGATTTCTCTACAAGCTACAAGTTCAAGAATTCAAACATTTAAGTTAAAAACCAATCAAGATCGAGATAACCGTATTCAAAAACAAGTTTGAGAAGTCCTTGAATTCAAATAAGTCAAGATTAAGATAAAGTTCAAGTTCATCAAAGATTCAAGAACAATATCCAAAACCCTGGAATCCAAGATCAAGTTCATGATCAAGATTATCAAAATCAAGTCCATATTAAGTTCATCAAATTCATAAATTAAGATCAAGCTCCAAAATCCTTTAATCCAAGATCAAACTCAAGAAAAAATTGAAATTCAAGCTCAAAAGCCCTTAAATATATATTGGAAAAGATGAATCGAAGGAATAATAGAGTTTATAACAGTAATATTCATCCACTCTTAATTGACCAACTATAAGGCCACTAACTCCAAAATTTCTATAGAAATTGAAGGAATCCTTGGCATTACCTCCAAATATTTCAGAGATATTACGAGGAGCTAGACCACTATGTTGGGACAACAAAAACTTTAAGTGTCCTCCACTTTAAGTTTTCGACTCCAAATGGATCAAGATCCTCTACAAATACTTGAGAAGAAGGAAGTAGTGAAGATTAGCTATCAAGCGCATGGATGCATGTGATCGATGCAAAGACTTCATATAACATATTGCTTGGTAGGTCTTGAGTACATGATAGTAAAATTGTCTCCTCTTCTTACTATTAATGTTTAAAGTATCTTGAAGGCGGAATCGAAAGGAAGATAGTTATGGATAATAATTCTCTCTCTGAAGTTTAGACACACATTTGCCGATGCAAAATTCTATTGAAGAGTTACGTTGTTAAGGGTGCAAAAGCTCACGACGTCAAATCAATAATGCTGATTAGATCACCAGTAAAATTCAATCATCTAACGTTCAAGGAAATTCACTAAGAGGATTAAATCTTTTTATTAGATGGATTAATGCAATAAACTTGTCTACCAGAAAAGTCAATTGCTAAAAATATAGCGCAAGATGTAGCACTCACTACGAATGCGCAAGAGAAAGCTTTGATCCAAATTCTTAAAAGGTGGAATTAAACTATATAGGATGTCATTGTACGTAATTTGCCCACTTTTTTACGGTAATTAACAGAAATTTCACTAGTTTATGAGCTAATTACTAAGATATTAGGTCGCAATAATACCAAATTTTGGTACATTTATCTTGTAATTCAAGGGCCAAAATTAGATGTAATTTATTCTAAACACACTGTATCCAAATGAATTTACATGTATTTGTGGTATATAGAAAAAACTCCTTTTCATATCGCTCGCCATTCTCATATCTCTCTCATGTATATGTATCCAAATCACACTATATACATGTATATAGTGTATATCTAGTGTGATTCCCATCTATAATATTTATATTTAAAAATCTTGCTTGCCTTCCTCGCCTCCCTTCCATCTCACTCACGAATATCATATCTCGTTCACGTATACGATATCTCAGATGCATGTAAATCACCATATAGATTTATACAATGTGTAACTAATGTGACAAACCTATATTTTATTAAACTATGGTATGAAATTATTAAATAATCACATAAAATGTAATTATTTTGAACTTATAACTATTAAAAATGTTACAAGAATACTATGGATTGTATTCTTGAGCACCCACAGAAATATTAACTACTCTTCTTTTTATAAATAAGGAGAGTCTTGAAATTACTTTAGCAGATGGAATCCAATAGCACATTGTTCACCTAAACTAAAATTTAGTTTAAGATAATAAGATTCAAAAAAACTTCGTATATCTTTCGAGTATATCATGCTATATTTTTAAATTTACGTAAAAGTATTTAATTTACTTTTAATATTTTTATTACATAATTTTTGAGATGTAAAGTTATTTATTTATTTTTAATAAAAAAACTTTATTTTTCTCCAAAAAACCCCAATTATTGCATTTCTTATGGGAATTTTTTCCCCCCTATTTTCTTCTTACTATACATGTAGTCTATAAGTCCCAACTCCTAACTATTGAACTCTCCACAATTTCCTTTTTTACTGTCAAATCTAATCACCACTAAATTTTCTTCCATACTACGTATTTTTGTTTGAAAAATAAACATACTGAACAAAAAATAAGCATCCAAGTCCACTCCAAAATATTTCCTTCAACCTTCAATTATGATAAAAAAAGAAAAGAATTTAAGTTGTATTTTACCTTCGTAACATTTTTATCCCTTTTAACTTTAATTTTTTTTGAATTAAAAAATAAAAAATCACTGTAACGGTCAAAAGTAGTATGTGTGGTCTTTTAATATCTCTTTCAAAACAAATATTTAAACTTCAACTCATCGTTTAATAAAAAAATTGTGTTATAAAATAGTGTTTTTCTCACCCATTGATCGAACCAAAGCACTAACAGAATGTATGATTGGAAATAGATTCTAATCGAAACAGCAGGAAACTTCCTTCATTCTGTCTTTTTATTTTCTTTTTTCACTGATTAAATAAAAATATATAAGAAAATAGACATCGATTATTTTCAAGTTTCAATGAAAAAAATAATGTTTTTCTATAACTAGATGAAGAAACAAAAGATAATAGTTTAAATTAATAGAGTGGAACTAAAAATTTAAATATATAAAAAAGAAAACTTTACAAATACTATAAGTCTAAAACATCAGAGTAGATATTTTAAATGGTGAGTCCTTTATACATGACTAAGTCAATTCAACAATTTAATTAACTATAATCTTTATTTTACTTCAACACTATTTGAATTGCGCGTGGTTCATATGTAATCTCACTATCATAGGTTATTTAACAAGGACTTCCAAGAAATTAATACGTAAAGCATTAATGTTTGTTCATCAGGTCCAATATATTTATATATTAATCATTAATTATGGTATGGTGATGGATTATTGTACGTTTTTCTCACATATTTGGGTCACAAGTTTTTTATCTTTTAATTCAAAACATTAATTCTTTTTTCCAAATTTCAAATTATTAGATTATAAATGATAATTCACAACAAGTTATTTAGTTGCGTAAGATTTCAAGGATTCATATGATATACTGTTGAAAATATATTTAAGTAAATAATAAATATTATTTTTAACAATTTAAATTTTTAAAAAATATTATTGCATACCTTAAAAATCAATGTCATGTTAATCAAAAATCAAATTCAATCTCTCAGTTGTCTGAGCATAAAATTAAGAGAAAATGATGAAATATATATATACCTTATGAACGGTTTAAAATGGGTTAATTTTATCTCAGGCTAATTGTTTTATCCCCAATTACGAAAATAGATCAAAAACAATTTTTTCCCCAATGGTTGTTCAAAGTTTCTTTCCGTTGTTTTTTGGGGAAAAACAAAATCAAGTTATTCAAACTTTAGAAAAAAAATATTTCAACTTCTTTGACGGTCTTGTTAACTACAATATCACGATTTAGATTATGCTTAGAACATACATTTATATGAGATTAAGAACTGTCAATATAGGATAGGTCCGTTGGACATATCTACTAGCGGACTTGACTTAATTTGGAATATAATAGGATTAGGTTAAGATTTTGGAGTCCATTTACGAAAAGGTTTTATAAGTCAGATCTGAATAAGCATATTGATTTGTGAGACTTGAAAAATATAGATATGTCCGACCGTGGGTCAATAAAAATAAAAAATATAATATATTATTAAAATTTAAAATTAAAGAGAGTCTAAATTCAAAATAATTATGTTAATAACCTATTTAGATATTTATATTTTTACTTGAAAAAAAACTTAGTAAATATTATAAAGATAATTTTATTTTGTAGATTTGATAAACAAGTAGTTAACATCATGTAATATTATTTTATCGATATTTATGATAATATTTTTAATTAATTATAATTTATAGTTGAATTTGATAATTATAAAAGAACTATAATTTTTTTAAAAAGTGGACTGACTCGACAAGTCTGTAGTCAAAGTGCTTATGGATTGGACCAACCATTTCCTGGCCCACGCCAAAAATGAGCTAGTCCAACCTGACCCATAAAATATAAAAATTTGTATAAAATAACCCGAATAGAATGGACTAACCTACATTAACAGCTCTATCTAAGACTAAATAATGAAAATTCAAGATAGAAATAAATTAGAGTAATTAGTACTCCTAATATTAGTGTTAGTGAGCGATTATTGATTATACGATTTTATTCCTACGTGTGGACGGTGTGTATTTTGAAAGTCAACATATACGTCTTAGGAGTAGTACTATACAATTTTAATTCATGCAATTCATAGATTGAATGAATACTCTTTTTTTTTTTCATTTATTTTGTTGACTCTGCAAGTTCCTCACTATTTCCTTTGATATATCTCCCCTTTATATAAATGATGATGAAGATCTACCCTTGAAACATTACAATATCGAATCGAATCGATCGATCTCTATCGTACCGTATCCCCTTAATTAAATACAATAACGGAAATGGAAAGCAGCAATATTAATATTGTTACAGCTTCAGAAAAGATAGAGAGGAAAACACAAGAAAAGATTAGAAGAATCCAAATGAAGTATCTTACTTCTAAACTTTTTTCTCTCATTCCTCCCCACCATCACCAATCTACTAAGGTATAAAATCCTATTTCTCTCTCACACTCACATGAATGCATAAACCACTAGAAATAAAGATTTTTCTCATCGTAAATCAATAGTAAATTTGTTTTATAATGCACAATGAAAAAATAGATTATCTCTAGGTATTTTTCTTCTTCGTCGTTTTTCTTGTTGAAGTAATTTATCGATATTGTTTGGTAAAACTTGTTGTTTTAAGTCTGTGACCATTTCATCTAAAAACTTAAGATGAGATTTTTTTTTCATGAACCAAGTATGTGGAATTTTTTTTATTTGGGTAGCAGTGAGATTCATCGAGCAGGACCTTTGCCTTCTCTGATACCATGCATGTTGAAGTGTGTGACTATCTTATCTAAAAGATTAAGTTGTTTCGAAAGAGCATATATATTTTCAAGTTGTTAGTTTTCCTGATTTGCTAGTTAAACAATAATTTCAGGAGGTTTTGACAAAGCAAGACAAAATTGATGCTGCAATTACTTACATTAAGCAATTAAAAGAAAGAATAGAAGTATTAGAGAGAAGGAAGGAAGAAGTGGTTGCACAAGAGACATGTGATGATTCAAAGAAATCCATGCCTACAACAACTTGTAGTATTAAATCACCAATGGTTGAAGTTAAAGAGTTGGATTCAACTCTAGAGGTAATTTTAGTGAGTGGTTTGCAAAAGAACTTCATATTGCAAGAGGTTATAAAAATCATAGAGCAAGAAGGAGCACAAGTTGTTTCTGCTAATTATTCAACAATTGACGATACAATTTATTATATGATCCACGCTCAGGTGATTCATATTTCAATTTGTCCTAATTTATATGACATTTCTCTTTTGTTTAGTAAATTTCAAGAGTAGTGACAGATATAATATTTAGTTGTAACAAATTGACTTTTAACTTTTCAAAAGTCTTTCATTCATTCTTAAAACTATGTGGCAGTCAAATCACTTCACATAAATTGATATAGAGAGTATGTAGTAATCTCTCTTTAGAATTATTGTTTTTTTTTAAAAAGGTTTCCTCAAAGGGCTTCATTGGATAAGTTAAAGGAGAATGAAGGGGTGAAACCTGACCTAAGAATGGGGCACATCCTTAATCTCTATCTTAAAGAATGTCATCTTATATAATGTTGAGATAAGTGTCACAAAAACATCTAAACTATCTTTTTTTTTTAGTTTCATACCTTAACTATTGAAATTTTGAGTTTCATATCTAAAATCACTTTTAAGTTTGAGAAACACATCTCTCTGTTTTATACCACTCTTATCATGATATGTGTAATACACTCTCTCTCTTTTATTTTAAATTTTTTTTACATCACACTCCATATGGACAAAATATTCAATTTCGACAAAAATAAATAAATTATTAGTATTAGTTAAATAAAAAATTAAAAAAATATTGTAAAAAAACAATATTTTCTTTGTAAAATAAAATGAAAAATATTTTTCTTACCCTACACCATTTTTAAAAGTTTTTTATGTTGTTTGAATTTCTTTAATAAAAGTATTTCATTTTTTACTTGATCTCCTCCCCTTCCTCAAATAATAATTTAGATATCATTTTATTTTCTTAAAAATATAATTCTACCCATCTCACTTAACCCTCCATTTTCAATTTTTCCCCAATGTTTAGATATACATATCGAAAATAGTTTTACTTGCCTCCACAAGACTTTTTATATTTTTTAGTTGTTTATGTTATATTCTGTACACTAGTAGAATTTTTTTTCGAAAAATATATGTACGAGCATATCTAACACAAAATAAGAAAACGTAAAAAATAAAAATTAGAAGCAAAAAATTAAATAGGATGGGGTAGATTTTTTAAAATAGAAGAATATCAATTTCTATCGGTGCGGTGCGGGGGGATATGAAATATTTAATAATATTTTATAAATGATTAATTTTAAAAAAAGAATGGGATTATCGGGGGGGGTTACGTGAGGAGGTGGTGGAGTGAGATAAGAAAAATAATTTAATTTTTTATTTGGATAGTAAACTTTAATTTTAATTAATATTAATTTTTTATTATTTAATTTTTATCAAGATAGAATATTTAATCTATATGGAATGTCATGTGTCAAAGTTTTTTCATATAAAATAGAGTGCATTACACACACAACTGAGGTATGTTTTTTCAAACTAAAAAGTGATAATTTAGGTATGAAACTCACACTTTCAATAGTTTAGGTTTAGGTGTATTTTTGACACTTTATCTGTATAATATTTAGTACTTTTTTAACTCCAACAACCTACCTAACATGTTTTAAAATCTTCATGTTCAAAGGACATATTGTTCTATATATATTATATAAATCATCCGTTTAAAATCACAAAATAATAAGTTTCGTACATACCGTGCTAGTCAAATTTACATAAAATAAAATAGATGGAATGTAAATTTAAGTAATAAAAAAGATGATGGAAAATAATGTACGTATAACTAGTTAATTCTGATCTGTGGTGACAAATGGGCGGGTTGGTCAAACGTAGGCGGGTTGAAATGGATAAACATAAAATGTGTAATCATTCAACCCGCCCATATTTGATATGGAAAAAAATGAGTTGGGTAATAAATGGATTGGGTAAAATACTAGTTTACCCATATTTCATGAATAAATAGTTCTTTATTTAAGAATTCAATACAGAGAAAATAATTTAGTCTTTTTTTAGATGAAATCTGTTGAAAATGCTTCATTTAGTTTAATTTTATTATAAAAGTAAAAAAAATTAAATTCGGGGTTGGGGGTTGGGGGGTCGAGGTGGGGGTAAGGGACGATGGCTGGGGTGGGTCTAGGGATAGGGTGAGAAATAAATATTTGAAGTTGAATATATTTTTTTAAAAACAAACTTAATTTTTTTTGGGTGCGGGTGGGGGTAAGGGGGTGATGGGGGACGATGGTAGTGATGAAAAAATAAAATTCGAAGTTGAAAACATTTTTTGTAAATAAACTAAAATCTTATTTTTTGGGGTGGGCGGTGAGGGGGCTTGTGTTGGGGTGGGTTGGGGGGGAGGTCGAGGGTAGGGGTAAAAAAATGAAATTTTGAAGTTCAATATATTTTTTAAAAATAAATTTTAATTTTTTTTTGGAAGCATGGGGTGGTGGTCGAGAGTTGAAATATTAATAGGGATCCATATATGAAAATTTTGAAAAATCGCTTCTAAAACTTTATAATAGAAGATTTTTTGAAAATTTGAAGAAAACTTGCAATATCCATATTTGATCCGTAGTTTACCATAATATACTCATATTTTTATAGATAAAATATGAGTATAATTCTTAATATTACCCATATTTTAAATTAATCTTTTAATTCATATTTAATGAGCTATTTAGATGGATCAATGAAAAATGGGCTTAAATTGCCATCACTTATGTTGACAACTAAATTTAACAATGCTTTTCTTGTTATCTAATGTTTGCAGGTGAAAATTGCTAGATTAGGGATTGATGCATCAAGGGTCCATTTGAGATTACAAAAGATGGTTTGCTAAATTTACTTAATTAATTACAAGCAAAGATCAATAAGGAGATCACACTAATACTTATTCAAATTGTTTATGCCAAAGAACACAGAACAAACACATACAAATTAAAAATTTTCATTTGAGCCATGTTGTGTTACTAGAGCCTATAATATAATTAATTATGTGAATTGGATATATGGCCTTTAATGTAACAAATTAAATGATATATACAAATAATTTTTTGACTAAAAATGTTCAGATGAACTCCTTATTTCTAAAATTAATCCAAAATAAATTTGGACCATAAATGACAGAACTGATAATTGTGATCATAGGCGAACCTAAAATTTGAAGGTTTCAAGTGCAATCAATATTATGTTAGTTCATATATGAGTTCTAAGTTAAATTTAAAATAAAATTCATTTGACTTATACCAACGACATATGGACACTAATGTGTTCCTCAAGAGTGTACTGTTAATTATATCCTAAATTATTTTATTTTTTTAAAAAATAAGTAAATTATATTTAGTTTCTATATCTACTTGCTCATATAACGTCTTTTTGAGAGAAATGATCAAGGGTATAACCGTATAAGTGACTCTCGAATATTACCTTTTGTATTGTGTCTAGAAAAAATAAGAAAAAGACATCACTGCCAAAAAAAATAATTAAAGAATTGATGTTGTAATTGGATTCCAATAATAGTGTCTGCCCAAAGATACTTTATGAAAGTCAGTGCACAACAGTAAAAGTATAAAGAGTGTAAAGTTGATTAGTGATGTTTGTGAAACTAGGTCTTAAACTTAACTCATCCCCAAAAGCTAGTCGAAAGAGAGGAGGATTGCGCCTTATAACGAGTTCACCCATCTTATTAAATACTGATGTGAGATTTTTGTCATTCTTTAACACCCCACCTCACGACCAGTACTTAGCATCTGGTGCGTGGACAATTTTAATTTTGGGGACTCCAACTTCGAGTGAGACGGACCCTGATCTGATACCACGTGAAATTAGGTTTTAAAAGCTAGCTCAAAGGGAGGAGGATTGTCCAAGCCTTATAACGAGTCCACTCATCTTATTAACCACCGATGTGGGACTCTTGTCATTCTTTAACAAATGTAAAGGTATATGAGAATTTGTTAGATAAAAGAAGTCAATAACTTTGTATAGTATGAGATATAGATTTCTTAGAATTAGATAATAAAAAAGACAGTATCTTTAATTTGTAGAGCATAGTATGAATAAAAATGTGAAGTTTCTTTTGTTAGTATAAAATAAAAATTCTCTGTTGAATTTCATCAAATATCATATATACTCATCTTGACAAGTTGAGTTAGAATAGCAACCATCTGCTCTAAGATCTGACATATTGATTTACGTATACATGTACATACTGAATACAATGGCCTTTGCTCTAATTTAGCAAGTGTGGTTCATCTTCTATTCAAAACTGAAAATTTAAACTAGTAGAGAGAAGAGTCAGAAACAAATTAGTAACAGTATACAAAATATTTTTCTCAAAGAAGAAAATCGAGTTCATTAAATACACAATATTTCCTTAAAGAAATTATTCACCTCTAGTACTCGAGGTTAATGAAATATATCCTCTCAAGATAGAACGATTTAACTCACCCGTGTATTGATACTTAAAATTATGGTGTCAATGAACCACTCAACGGCAACAAATGAAGTATCTTTCTTCTAAGCTCTTTTCTCTTATTCCTTCCAACTATTCTAAGGTATAATAAACCCTATAATTTCTCCTTCTTTCTATCTAGATCTCTTTTACACAGAGAGATATTATTATCATTATTTCCATCATGCATGATAACGCAAAATAGAGAGATCAAATTGAATTCAAAATTTTTGAAGTTCATGAATTCTAATTGTAACAGTGATTTTTGAAGTTTATGAATTCTGATTCTGTTAGGTTATTAGCATTTTAATATTAATATTTAACATATTAAATTGCTTTATTTTAGAGTTATAAGAATGACCATTGGTAGGCATTTGTGTTTTAAACTATCAATTTAATCATGCTATTCATCTTTGACTTGGTAGCCATGTAATGTCATTACTTTTGGCTTTATTGGCTGAATTCATTGTGAGATAAAAACATTCCAATAAACATTGGAATGGATAACTTCTACATCATCCATTAGCATTGGTTATCCATCACTTTATTTCATTCTTAATTCCTCCATTACTCTTTGTAGCCTATGTAACTCGTAACCTATGTAACCTCTGTAACTCCTAAGACCATTATCTTCACTATTTACTATCTCCATTATCTTCCTATTCATTGCTAGGAAAACTTCTTGTAGTATAAATAGTGGTGGTCTTCATTTGGTTTGGTACACACACAAAACACAAGAGAAAACAAAGAGTGAAAGATTTAGTCTAAAAGAGAGTTCTTATTAGTTGAAGGGAGGTGTTCTTTTTTGTGGAGCTTTGGACTCAACTCTTGTCCAAAGTTGTTGAGTTATACTTTGTGAAGGTTGTTGTATCCTGGAGGGGACAAGTCAAAGAAGACTTCTGCTGGACCGGTGAAAACATTTGCTGCAGTGGGCTTGAATCTTCTTAAAGAGAGCGACATATCTGCGCCTCAACCTGAAGAGATTAATTTATTCATTTTATTTTTAATTTAATCTTACAATTTTATTATCTTGTAAGTTTTTTCACAAACAAATTGTAACAGAATGAAAGGGGGGGGGGTGAGGTGTTAAAGTCTACACCCCAACCTTGTTGATTCCATATTTAAGATGTTGATAAGTATGCAGATAGTGACATGTTCAAAATTAAATAAAGGTATATTGCCCTTTAACATGCATGTCTAACATGATGACATGAGGGTTCTTGAATATAGTTCTTTTTTAAA